CTTAAATTTGCGAACATCCAATTTTTATAGGCGCAACAACTAGCGTCCATAAAAATATCCTGACCTCTCAAGGCCACCTTTTAAGATCAAACGCAGGCTCAATTTGATTGGATCTCCAACACGGGGAAAAATAAAGTCGGCTGGATATTTTGGATGCGAAGTTCTCTGTCATTTTGTGCCTGAGGCTGAACTTGAGGGATGACCTTGAGAGATCAAGGCTTTTTGACGGACGCTTTTTCTTATATGATGAATATTCTGGTGCCGACAAGTTTAAAATCGGCCAATATTTTTTTTGATATGTACTTTGTGCTTGCAATTGACCTTGAATGGATGACCTTGAGAGGTCTAGAACTTTTAAGCGCACGCTAGTTTCTTCTTTGGTGAACATTCTGATGCTGGTAAGATTAAAATATGTCGGTATATTTTGGTTACATGAAGTTAGCCATCGAATTAACCTAGCTTTTGACCTTAAGCGGTCACATGCTTTAGCAAAATAAAGGTCAAGTTGTGTCATAATTGACCTTGAGGTGTGTTTACAGAGAACTGAGGACTCGTCGCTCAGTAAATCGCTGGACAAATCGCCAAAGCTTCCGTAATTCGAGGAGCAGCTTAACCTTGAATTTCAACTGCAAGAGATCCAAACTTAATGACGGACGCTAGGTCTTGAGGAGTTGAATATTCTGGTGCTTGGAAGCTAAAAGTCGGCTGGTGTTTTTGGTGCCATCGAGTTGCCTATTATCTTAGTCCACATTTGACCTTGAAGGGTAATTTGGAGAAGTCATGAGCCTGAGTGATGAGACTGAGTCATGAGCATGAGTCATGAGACTGAGGCGTTGGAAGCGCTGGTGAATATCCTGATGCCCGAGAAGCTTAAATCGGCCAGTAGTTTTTTTGGTGATGTGGAGTCCCTGTGCTTTGAGCCTGAGTGTGACCTTGATGGATAGCATAGATAGGATAGAGGACAGGACTTTTTGCCGTACGCTAGTTCTTTCTATGATAAATGTTCCGGTGCTGGACAGTTTTAAGCCGGCCAGCGTATTGTTGGTCATCCAAGGCTTCTTACCTTGAGCCTGCGTTTGACCTTGAAGCCAACATTTGATTCGAAATTACCAACCCTGATTAGTAAGGTTTTTTTGTCGAGCACTTGTTACTCTTGTGAATATTTTAATGCTCGGACATTCCAAATCGGCCAGTAAGTTTATGATGATGTGGATTTCCCCTTTCCATTAAGCCTGATTTGACCCTTAAGAATGACATTGAGAGGTCAGGTCTTTTTGACGGACGCTAATACTTTCTGTTGTTAATATTTTGGTGCAGGTATGTTTGAAATCAACCGGTAATTTTTGTGATGTAGAGCTCTACGTCCTTTGAGCGCGCGTTTGACCTTGAAGAATGACCTTGAGGGGTCAGGACTTCTTCATGGACGGTGGTTCTTGCGATTTGGAATATTTTGGTGCTGACAAATTCAAAATCGGTCGGTAATGTTATGGCGATGAGAAGTTCGCCGTCTTTTGAGTTAGCTTTTGAACATTGAGGTCACATGATACTGCAAAATGAATGGCATTCTCGGCCTTCTCGTGCCATATCTGACCTACAGACTTATGTTAAAGAGAAATCGGAGCTTGTCGCCGAATAAATCGTGGACTAAATCGCTAGCCTCACAGATATCTTACCCAGTGCTTCAAAAAATTCGAGAGATGGCAGCACGGTGCGGGAAGTGTTCACTGAGCCAAACGCCGCCATTTGCCCGTGTTTCGGCTTTTTGTGGTGTTCTTGCAGATCTATTCGCGTGTTTGAGATGTTTAATTGTACTTAAATACTCGGTTATGAGTTTCCTCTCAACTTTTTCGATTACAATTCGTATTTCCACAGTGACTAGCGAGTGCAAAAGCTGTGTACAACTTGTCGACATGAGGCAGCGCAAAACGTAATTCATCCGACCCTGTTATCCTCCATCTTGCTTCATCCTGCGTTCTCGCGACACCTCGCTCGCTCGGGGCAGGCTGCATGCGTCAGCCACAGGTGAGTCGAGAGCCCCGTAGGAGGGGGACCCCAACCGGGTACCCAGCGCACATGCGCGGGTTAAAGCTCGGCGGTTGCCCCCCCCCCCCCTTCCAGACGCACACACGTCTGCCGCACCGTAAACCATCTTCGTTCATCCAATAGTCATGAAATGATCATTTCTGGTCGGAAGGGCTCTAATCCAAACAAACAAAAACAACCAAAATATTATTCGTGATTAAAGCTTGTACAGCTTGCTCAGCGTTGTTTAAGAGCTAATTGACGTCGGGCTCTTGTGGAAATCCTGCTCACAAACGTCAGATCTGAACGGGTGGGCGATGTTATTCTTCCTGGTCTTGGACGCCGCCTGGCTCGTGGGGGTAGCAAGATTTGGATGATGTTGCCTTGTGTCATGTATGTCTGAATGACCTTGACGTAGTCACGCGAAATAGTGTGCACATCTTCACGGACGTGTAGCGCAAAGCCTGATAGTTTTAGTTCCTAGGAAGAACAGCACTGCGAACTAGGCGATAAGCCAGCGGAACTATTCCCGACAAGTTACGCTGCGGCTCACCTGCGGTCACATACGGGCTGTATGCGGTCGTTGGGGGAGAACGTCGACAATGCAAGACAAATGATGGACTTCACTGCACACAAAAATTGGCGGATGAGGTTATCGTGAAAAAGGAACCGGAGAGCTTTGGTGATTTTTGGGAGAACTTGTCCGCTAAGTCACACAGTTTCAAAGAACGACTTTTACGGCAACTAAATAAAGACAACAAGCTCAAGAGCATCTCAAAACAACTCTGTGATAATGCCACTTTCTTCAGCATAAGCCATGTATAACCTTTCATATACTGAGAAACGAGAAAAATAACTTTGCTGCGATATTTTTCCAAAACAACGCCTGCTTGTGTGATCATTGATTAGAGTCCAGGGTCGCTTTGAGGCCGCACGTCAACGTCGCGCGCGCGCAAGGGCGCGGAGACGGTGTATAAGTTGGGGGAGCGAACTCAGAAATGTCAAAGTGGGCCCCAAGTCTATATAGTGAGCTCTTACAAGCAAGAATGATCTTCTACAGGCAAGAGTGGGGCCTTCACAGTCAGTAATGGACCCTCCAAATATCAGAATGGGTCCTCTACATCATCACGTCACGTAATTACGTTGTTGTAGTGTCCGCTCCTGGCACACACCGCATCGCGATTTCGTTGCGAGGCGCGACAGTCTGCTGGGATTGCGCTACCTGTCACTGTTCACCAGACGCTTCACTTCAGTCGCGTCACATCTGTCAGTGGAAGAGGCAGCCCCCTTCCCCCCTGCCAATTTGGACTTCAGTCCCCCAACTTTGAGAAGAACGCGAGTCAAATCCGGGAAGAAACCATTTCGGCGTATTTTTGGGAAGGTTTTGCCATTTTTCTCTTCAGCCCCTCTACTGAAATGCATTTCGCGAAACTACGTCCCAGAACACAAACATGGTGACGAGAATGTTTGTGACCCACACACCGATCGCCCCGCTCAGTGTGCGATCCGGCCAGCTCCGTGTTGCTGAGAGCGCGCCCTGCAGCAACCCACCGGCGCGTGGTCGGTCCCATGCAACCGGTCAGCCTTCGGTGAACGCGAATCGAGTTGGAATGGCTAGCGTCACCCGCTCACTGGGCGGTCTGCGCAGCGGCCGATCGGGTCTCTTCTGCGTTCTCCACGAGCTACCGAGCTGGAAAACCACGACAGAGCGTCGCCGCGGGCGTCGGCCGCGCCGGTATAAAGGCGCGGCGGCCGCCGTCGGCCGCATCACAAGCCCATCGGCGAGCCACAGCCAGCGCACAGACAACCGACCGTGTCCGGCCCAGCGTTCCAGCCATGCGTCTGCAAATGACCATTCTCCTGGCGGCGTGCGTCGCCGCCACATCGGGCTGTTTCTACTTCTGCAAGCGGCCGGGGCCAAATGGCGAAGAGGAGCTGTACTGCTGTGACAACAACAAGCCGGGCCGGTGTCCGCCGGTGCGGGACGACTGCCCAGCCTTTGCCAGCTTCAGCGGGCCGCAGTATTGCACCACGGACGGTGACTGCACTGGCAGCATGAAGTGCTGCTACGACAAGTGCGCAGCGAGAACCGTCTGCAAGACGGCCCTGTGATGAGGTCAGTAAGGGGCGGACGACCACAGGGACCCAGGGTCCGGGACCCTGCCCGGGGCGAGCCCCTGGTCAGGGGCGGGGTGACCCTTGATCGCGCGCAGTCCTCAGCCGCCAAAAGCGGTTGAGATGTCCATGTTTTCCTCTCCCCAAACGTATTGTTCGTAACGACCGTGCTCGTCCCCTCACGTGTCTTCGCGCTCGAATTGGGCACTCACGAAATCGCGTGCCTGGCCGTGAGTGACGAGAGTTCATCACCATTTTGTAGTTACTCTTAAGTGTGCGGACCGAGGTCTCCTCGTCTTCTGTCCCCACCTAACAGTAATTGCCGTTCTGTGTTGTGCTGTTCCGCAGTGTCCAGATAAAAATCACGTGTCATCTTGCGAAGGAGCATATCTTGGGTGGTATTGACCGTGCAAGGCATTGCTACATCCATTTTCCATTTTTACAATGTTCATGTTCACCATAATGATGTCAGCTATGAATCCCCAGTACATAAATAGAATCGGGGCCAGTTTGGAACCAGTTCTGCTCGTCACCCCCTACGCCCGCCCTGACACTATCGATGATAATATAGAGTGTTTCGGGGCGCACTATTGCAACAGTGGCCGCCCGCTCCTACTAACCCGGAGTCGGCGGTGCCACCAGGTGCAGTCGGCTGGCGAGCAGGAGGCGGCGGGACACGGCATCTGCCCCGCCCCGGCCCGGGTGCTCACCTCCTCCGTCGGCAGCCACACTGACACCCCGCATACGGTGTCGAACGTGACGTGATGTAACATGGCATCGCTCAATACAATGTCCACGCTTCTTCCCTCACGACGGCTGTGTTGAAACAGTGCTTAACACTGGCCGTATCAGATCATTTGCTCTCATGTGGCGGCTCGGCAGGACAACTGGCTCCTGCCGGCTCATACGGCTAGTGACAAGTACATTGAAACAAATGTAGTCATTCGGTCCACAATGCACCCACGCACGGTGACCACGTGGTTAGCACAGGCCGTATCATCTGATGGTTGGCGGCAAAGGACAAATCCAACACGTATTGCTGCCATCTGCCATCTGCGAACGATTGGATATGAAAGATATGTTCTTGGTCGACACGGCAAAGGCTGATGACATGATCATGTTTGGCCCGGTCTCAACCTACGGCAAAACAGTGAGAAGCTTCCGGGTCCTTATCATATTGTCCAAGGTATAGAATGTCCAAAGGTACAGAATGTTCAAAGTACAGCGTGACCAAGGTACAGAATGCCCAAAGTTCATAATGTCCAAAGCGCACAATGTCCAAAATGAGAAGTAACTTCCAACATGGTGCAGAGTGGACGGGGTCCGTATCATAATGTCCCATGTCCAAAATGTCCAAGTACAGAATGTCCAAAGTACAAGAATGTACAATGAACATATTGTCCAAGGTATAAAATGTCCAAAGACTAAAGCTTACCAAACTATTTTCTAGTAGCGGGCCGCCAGGGTATGAATAATCGCCCTTATTGGCCGGCAGCGTTGCCGCGCCCAGCGCCGTCCCGCGCGCATACAGTCGCACATTACGAAGACCACGCGCGTGAGGCTGGCCAGCCGGATTGCTAGCTTAGTAACAAAATCCATGTCCGCTCCACGACACAATGAAACCGGCTGCAGGTGCCGCGCCGAGCATTAGTCGCCGAGTGCCAAAGTTGAGCCCGGTAAGGTTTGCCTGCATTTTGGGCTGCTAGAAACATTGAAAACAGGCGGAATATGAAATGGAATTATAGCCGCTCTATGCTGAAAATATAATTGTCGAAATCGATACCAGCAGTGGGCAATTCTGGACGCCGATCTTGACTGTTCGATTGTCAGTATGATGCAGATATCATAAGTCCGGGTTGATAAGCTTAAACAATTTCAAATAGCAAATAAGTTCGAGGTAATAATCGTTTCCAGCATCATACACCAGCATTGTGGTCACTATGGGATGGGTTTTCAGCAATAGCAAGCTAACATCAAAAATGTTTCGTGATCAGTAGTGATTGTCGTTGAAGGGGGGTGA